TTGCGCTTTCCCATAATTTTGGGTGTCACGTTTAAAGTATGTAACTTTATAAGTGGATATAATATTGCTTCTGAGAGCTAAATAAACGTGAATTTTAGATTTGTAATTAAGCGATGTATCATAAACACGTTGGCCACACATTTATTTTTTGTATCTCAATAAAGCGTGAATGGATTACTTATACATGCCTTTAACTCCTATCTTTGCTAAATAAATATTCAGATATAAATATTCGTATAAAACGTATAAATTCTTAATCCATAACCATGACAAATGCTGCAAGTTGTCAAACTCAGAGCATACACACCAAGCGTATTGTTATTATTATTGTATTCGCATTCCCGAACATCGGATCGGACGATCGCGTGCGTTGGACTAAAGGAGGGAACTTTGAATAAGAACGGTGGTACTATTTGGCGACCTAGTACGTGCCAGCCGTTTCGTGGAGTAACCACAAAATAGATAGTACAGAAGTCAATCTAAATACAAAGTGCGCTCGAGCAACGCACATATAGACCCCGCTCACGGATACGATATCTCGGACCGGTTGGGCTGGGACCACTGCGAGCTCGAGTTCAATCTCCTGCGCTTAAGACACGCGTCTGTGTTTTTTGTGTAAAAATGGAGCAACAAAAACATAGTTATTGTAACTGTTCAGTGGATGGTTGTTTAAATTCGACATTGATTTGTCGTTTTTTTTAATTCGTAATATAACACTAACATTAAAATAGTTCCGTTATTATTGTTTTCTATTGCCAATCTTCCTTTTTTATTATCAACTATAAATCAAACAACCGGATACGAATGCCACTATCATGATTAGGTCTCTATATATAAGCCAAAGTTGATAATTCTAGCGCGACCGCCGAGTGAAGGTATGAAAAGTGAAGTACATACATGAGTTTGAATTCTGGACTATCTTATTTGTGGAGTAATTTTATTAGCCCGTTATCTTGTAACGCGCCGAGAACCGGCATCTCCTCTAATGCGTCGCGCGGTTAGGCTACGCTTACTTAACGCTTTTATGAACATTTCTTCTAGTAATCTTTTGATGACAACCGAATACAAATCGGGTATGGATTTATGATTTAGCAGTTTATTGATTTTTTTTTTAAATTTATTTGCCTGTCTGTGTAAGTGGAGACCATTCCTATATACAGGGTTAATTTTAAAACACCAACAAGCTCTTAAAGGGTGATTCTACCCATCAACAGGAACAACTTTTATTATGGAACCAACGCTGAAATCGCGAAAAAAAAAATTCTGTTTCATACAAAAGTGCATCAGCTAATCGATCGAAATGTATGAAACAGCTGTTTTTGTTTCGCGATTTCAGTGTTGGTTCCACAATAAAAGTTGTTCCTGTTGTTGGGTAGAATAACCCCCTAAGAGGTAGTTGGTGTTTTAAAATTAACCCTGTATACTGAAGATGTTCACGAATTTCAGTTGTATAAAATTAAAATATGTAAATATTTTTAAATTAAGCCACTAGACAGCCACGACCACGGCCAGTGGCCGCAACCACCAGATTAATTAAGGAAACTAACGTTGTGGAAGGTGTGATGGATGAATATACAAGATACAGTAGTGATATCTACCTGCAGCCCTCGCTACAGAAATAATACAGTAGTCCGCAGTACTCGGCAATCTTTTGTAAGATGGAAGATGGACACTTACCCGGATCACTCGCATGAGAGCCCCAATTCGAGCGTAAAATTTCGCTGTATGCCCTACCTCTCTCGTGTGTTTGCCAACCACAGATTTAGATTAAGAATATAATCTAGGCCGCCTACAGACACTAAACTGAAGCGAGGCGATCACTTGAGTTCCCCTTTTGTTTGTACTGTATCAATCAACCTTCGCATTTCAGTGTGACCACATATATACGACATCGTACTTTATAAAAAAAATGCGTGAAAGTCGTGGAATACTCGATTGAAACGAAATTTAAATTATTTATAGACCACCCACCAATTCGCGCTGGGCCCGCGAGTTAATAAATTCGTAGGGCGTGGGAAATTGCCATCCACAGTCAACAATTCGTTTGATTATAAATGCAATTAACGTATTTATTCAGGTTACGCTACAATGCTGCTAATTTATCAATATAAGTTTTGAATGTGGGTCCATAACTATCAACTCCGTATCCCAAAATTTAATCTACTAATGCAAAATGCAAACATTTAAAAGTTGGTCTTAAAACTACGACACCAATTAACTGTTCAATTACCTAACAAAACGTCCCGTGGTCGCAAGCTCATGCGCAATACTTGATTTATGCCAAGAGTCGGGATGCATTACAAACTGTTTTCCGAACAGCCTTTGATTTGTGAATAAGAACCGACACCGAAAACCGATCACTCCAGCTCCCAGATCCCGCGGTCTCGGTCCATCACCCCCGCTCCCTGTCCATCACTCTTCACTCCCGGCTCAAAACTTTAAAGAAAGTCTATAGCTACCGCTGTCAGTATTCTCCCACCTAGCCACCCATCAAGCCAAGCTAGCTGCCTCGCTAGGTTGTGACGGAAAATCGTAGCAGAAAAATCTTACATTTTTTTCGCATAGTCCCCCCACGTCCATACCGTCCGAAAAGGAATTTCGTTCCAAAACTTATTGCGTCACTTTCAATCTTCCGTTTTTCCGGGAGGAGGTAATTAATTTTGAATAAGATATCATTAATTTTGACCAGTTATATTTATTTCCCGATTCCCTTAATTTAGAAGTCATTCGAGATTCAATCGATCAAGATTCAGCTCCAAATGTATTGTCTGTGTCTATTATCTGGAGAGCAAGAGAGATATACGTAATGTGGCATTCTGTCCCATTGTTTCTGAGTGAAGTAAATGATTCGGATTGATTTTATATTGAGAATAAAGCAAACCTTACACTTCTACACAAAACTAGACAAACGTAATGATGCTGTCATATTCTCTTCAGCCAAGAAAGGTAATAAGGGGGTCAATTTCAGAATCATCTAGAATAATAATAAAAATATTTTCTTTAAAAAGTATAATGGACGATCCATTTGATATCTTTAACCTACCTGCTTCAGGAACGTCAACTTCTGGAAACTTACCGGGGTAGAAAGCAGGGTTTAGTCTATTTTTATATTCGTACCAATAAAGGGTAAGGTCGGGGAGGGGGGGCAGGGATATCCAAGTTACTGGAAAGCCGGTATCTTATTAATTTAGTTTGAAGTTAAATTCCTTTAGATAGGTATTTCATTCGTAACGTTTCTGACCTAACTCATAACTTTGTCAATATATTGTTTTAAACTTTCATGGTCACTAACATTATAGCTATTAACGGGATTGTTACCATGTACCTTGTTTTTTATGAGTCTCCGATATTTCGGCACTGTTGCAAGACTCCGTGATCATGGCGCTTGCAACAGTGCCGAAATATCGGAGACTCATAAAAAACAAGGTACATGGTAACAATTCCGTTAATAGCTATAACTTTGTCAAGTTGACAGTGAGTGTTAAAAAAAACCAAATTGAACTCCTCTCAAGCTGCAAAGCGCTCAAGCATTGCGTTACTACTGCTATGGAATCTAATCATTATTTTACACATAGTAGCTATTGCCAGCTATTTTGTCTGCACAGAATAATTGGTTTTCTACAAGAAATTCTTTTCTATTCTAATGTATTGTATTCTGTTCTGCACTCTTCTATTCTATTCTAGTATAAAATACCAAGAGATTGGGCTCAGGTAAACAATTTCTATCTGGTTTTGGAAGGATGGGGGACAGCATTTACCTTCGTTTTAACCTTTTAACAGGCTGACTACTGATTATTTAAAGTCTCTGTAAAACGCCTGAATTCCTGGGTGGGGAATATTGAATATACCTGCGCCCTGTTTTAAAAAACCCTCATGAGCGGCCTTTCATAGTTGGATCTCAAGACACCAAATATCACAACGGATAAGCCTAAAAGGTTATGTTGAAATATTAGTGATCAGAATACCAGCCTGCAACATCTTTCGAAGTTGCCCTCTTGTTTCCACCGAAAGGGTATTTCTGTCTGCTCGGAATCTTTAGCATTATGTTAATTCTACGTTTATTTTCCTAAACTAGCATAGAACAGTTGTTATAATGATGTTAGAATGACGCTGTAACATACTTTCGGATTTCTACGGAGGAGGGTTGTTTTCACCCACTTTTCCAATCGATACGGTATTGATGACGTCACACTGGTTGTAGCTAAGCTTGTGCGTAATTCGTATATAAAGTTCCTTGACCCAACCAACCATTTCAGAGATGCCATTTGGTTTTGCGCAGGGAGAAATTGGATTTGCTTAAGATACCGTATTCTTTCAGGTTGTTCTCAAATTATATTTTTATGCGTGTTATAATTTGCTATTCATAGTTAGATGTAAGATTTTATGAAAATTTTAGAATTCGCATTAGTAAATAGGATTTTTAAGAAATGCCGCAGTGATAACTCTAGGATCTTCGGTCAAGACAAAAATGTAAATCTTACTTTAATACCAAATTGATGTTGTTATTGTGAAATATTTTTCTAGGCGTATATTAACAATTTTTCAGTAACATTTTGGACTCTACGTTATATGTTTGTTTATGCTTTTGCTTAATTGCTTGTCTAATATTCAAACCAGGTTCTCGATCAAGTTGGTCAGGATTGCTGAAATCAAAGCGCACGTGCCCTGAATGCCCTTACAACTCGTTCCACAGCGATTCATGCTTAGTTTGCATTACGAGGTACAATCTTGTTGGGCACTCCTTCATTCCTTCATGAGCTAAAGTCTAAAGATGAACCAATCGTTTCAAAGACACCCAATCCTGTACTCTATCGGTGCTTGTAAAAAGCTCGACTTTGCATACAAACACGAGGGATGACGCAGTTAAGTGGGCGGATGGTTTCGACGTAGATGATGTCGTTTTAATTCAGTGATTCAAGATTATTGTCAGGGTGCTCAGGGTGTATTTAATAAAATAAAGCATACAATTTTAGCAAATTAGACCAATTAAGATGTGTTTAGGGAGTTGTCAGGCAGTTGAAATGGTCAGGTTCGAGTAGATTGTGTTATTTGCGGTGTGGGCCGCATGCGCGCTGCGGGTCGCGCACCGCGGCGTTAGATCGAAGGCGGCCGAGGTGGAGGCGCGCATGCGTCCCGCACGGCACCCGCGCCTTCGCCGCCGGCCGCAGCAGTCGCACCGCGCACCCCACGCGACGCGCCATGTCGCCAGCTGCGACTTGACGGAGCACCTAGCTCAGGGAAAACAAAAAGTGTTAACCGAATCTACACCTTCCGTTGCGACAGCCACACTAATCCGGTAAGTTCCTTGCGAGCGAAAGGCTCGCGTCTGAGCAGAGTGCAGTGTCCAAGGTTAAAGTCCAAGTGCCTTTCCCGGATAACGATAGAAATACCCGAGGTGAGGTCGTAGAGGGCGCCAGTAGTCGACGTGAGTCATCTCTGCGACACGTTTTCATGGCCGCTCTTTCGATCTCTGGAGCTCGTGAGTCCTCAAGATTGCAGCGTTACGTAAGTGTGGCAGCATCGGTAGGGGCAAAGCGGCCGTGGTGGCCACACTTTCGACTGGCCGTGTGCACTCGACTGTGGCGAATTATTGCACACGAGGATTGCTTTCAGGAAAACATTCACCATTTTGTTTGCGAACCTTGTGCTGGCAACTGTGCGTTGAATAAACTTAGTGTCGCTCTCCGTCATGAGACCTGATGTCGTATTTTCGTGCTCCATTCAACATAATGCGTTTTGTGTGATATTTACAAGGGACTGTGAAAGTGGTTTTTGAATTTGCTCTTCGAATTGTTTGTTACTTTAAGTGTTGATGATACTTGGGAATATATTCTCCTAATATTCGCAACGTAGGTATTGATTTACTTTTTAAACGTCCTAATGCTTAATCTACTTAAAATTTGTACAAAGAATAATCAACTATTCCAGATGGAATGTCTCACCATAATTTTTTCGTCAGTTTTTAATGTTAACATTTACTTAAACCCGCCTTTAATTATATTAATAGATTTTAATACATTTTTACAACTGCGCATTTTCGCGATTACTGTACTCTCTATATTTTTAAACTTATTTACTTTGATTGATTGATGATAGCTTATTACAACTAGAAAAATATTTGAAATGTTGATGAAACGGTTTTTTTGCTGTCAATCAATGTGGGGTTTTCACGGTGTCAGCTATTAGCACACTTTGATATATCGAGTTTTTTGAAAATTTTATGGAAGAGTTCAATCGAATTTTGCTTAAAATAGAAGAGCACCTTCTCAACCTGCAAATTAATAGTAACAAAACGTCAGCTTTTCCTTCTTTGCACATAAACATGTTCAGCAGTACAATGACCTTGTTATAATACAAATTTCTTTCTTCTGAAATTATATTTTCATTAATTTATTCCACAAAAAAAAACAAATATTTAATTAAACTTACAAATTAATTGCATTCTCTTCATGGTCTTTTACTTGAAATAAATTTGATTTCACACATACAAACTATGAAATAGCATGAAGCATCGTCGGAACTGACTCTCACAAAAAACGGTACTCATCGTCTCGTAAATTAACGTCCGTCGGGTTATTCGCCTCTACATCAACCCAGTAGCCCACTTCGGCTGTTGTCGGCAAAAGCCGAATCAGCTGAGCGCCGCATCGCCGCACGCGCATGTTCGCTACAGAGCATGACGGTTTGTTGAACGTGACAAAATATGAACATTAGAATTTGGGTTTACAATAATACCCAATAAGTTAGTATTTGCAAAAGATCCCCTTGGATATTCTCTCTTTTTTATTTCAACTTAATCATATTACTAAGCTCTCCTCGTGTAGATTTGCTAACCGATTGCGTAGCTTCTCGACCTTCGCGTCGCACTGAATAAATTATTTTGAATCCCTCTTATTAGTCTTCTATGTTATTCTCTTTTTAGGAAATGGATTTGTCTTTGTTTTTTTCTTTCCTAATGATAGCCCAATAACACCATTGATGTAGAGATCTCTCAAAGATTTGTAAATTTGTATAAAAATACCCATTTTTTTTATTTATATATTTAATTTTTAATGCCTTATATGCAAATGACGGACTTAATGCCGATATGGCATTCTCTACCAGTCTACTGGAAAGAACGTGCAGAGCGAATATAACGGCAAAGAATAAAAAAAAGAGAGTTAACATCAAACAATGCTAAAAACAAAATTATAACATAATTAATAAAACATTTTACTAGAAGAGAAAACGTTCCTTCAAAATATACAACAAAAAGCTAATGGTTCCTACTGCTCGCCTTAAATTATGCTTAGCACTTAGCACTTTAATATGTCTATAAAAATATATAATAAAATAAATCTATAATAACCGAAAATTTAATAAAAATGAAGATAAATAATACAATAAGATAATTACAATGTATTTATTAAAAAAATTAGTTAATGTTATTGAATAAATGCTATATAGCCTCTAGGAATACCTAAATGATAGAACTACTATGGAATAAATAATAATAAATACTTATTATAAAATGATATAATATAATACTTATTTAAATAAATAATCGCACATAAACCATAAATCTCATTATACAATATCTTATTGGAGTAGTATGAATACATATTTTTTATGAGTTTTAATACATTGGATATAACAAATTATGTCAGAATAAGGAATTATGAAAGGGTCCATAATGCAATTTTTATCTGTTAAAATTACCACTTTTGTATCTTTTTTTTTTTTTTTTTTTTTTTTTTTTTTCTTTATTCAAATTGGATGTATAGTACAACACTTTTGAATCGTCCAAACATTTTTTTTTTCCCTACCACTCGTTATTGGACATATTTTTTAGCTGCGGAGAAAAACGAGCGAAAAAAACTCCACAACATTAAAAGCATAATGTAACAACATTTACAAATCATTATGTTGTTACAACGTCAATACAATCATGATTTATTTAATATAGAAAACCTGTTGAAATGATTGGAACAGTTCAAACCCAAGCATTTTTGTCTGTAATATAATCAGACACTTTGTAATAAGCTTTTTTAATAAGTGCTTTTTTTATACTATCTTTGAATTTATTTATGCTTAACTCTTGGATATTGCTTGGGACTTTATTGTATAAGCGAACACAAAGACCTTTAAATGAATTATTGATTTTGTGAAGCCTAGTAGCAGGTAAAGTTAGTTTATTTTTGTTTCTTGTATTAAGTGTGTGAACATCACTGTTTTTAAGAAACAAATTAATATTTTTTCTTACAAATAATAAATTTTCGTAAATGTATTGTGATGCGACCGTCATTATACCAAATTCTTTAAACCTATCTCTTAAGGAATCCTTAACTTTAAGATTATAAATTGATCGAATAGCTCTCTTCTGCAGCACAAAAATAGTTTGAATGTCGGCGGCGTTTCCCCACAATAAAATTCCGTACGACATTACACTATGGAAATAACTAAAGTATACTAATCTGGCCGTATCTACATCCGTTAACTGGCGTATCTTCATTACGGCATATGCTGCAGAACTAAGTCTATTTGACAATTTATCAATATGTGGGCCCCATTGAAGCTTAGAATCTAAAGTAATCCCTAAGAATACTGTGGTGTCTACAAGGCCCATATTCCTATCCTTTACATTCACACTGGTTTTTACCTGTTTTACATTAGGTAATACAAATTTAATACATTTCGTTTTTCCTTCATTTAGTAATAAATTATTAACATTAAACCAGTGGACTACCTTAGAGATACAACTGTTCACGTCGTCAATAACTGTTTCCTTACGTTTGAGTTTAAATAAAAGTGATGTATCATCCGCGAACAATACTATCTCATGCTTATCTCTAACGTAGTAAGGTAAGTCATTAATATAAATTAAAAATAAGAAAGGACCAAGGATTGAGCCCTGCGGAACACCCATTTTAACCGGCGAACCCGCAGACTTATTGCCGTTAATGTCAACCCTCTGAATCCTATCCATCAGGTATGACGCAATAAGATCCAGATCAGTATCTCTAAATCCATAGTGGTGGAGTTTCCTGAGTAATGTTTCATGAAAAACGCAATCAAAAGCCTTGGACAAGTCGCAAAACACACCTAGAGCGTCCTGCGAGTTCTCCCAGGCGTCAAAAATTTGTTGTATAAGTTCAACACCGGCATCGGTTGTTGAACGACCCCGTGTAAAACCAAATTGTTTACAGTGAAGTATATTATATTTATTAAAATGTGATTGCATTTGATCTAACATGATTTTTTCGAAAATTTTACTAAAGGTGGGTAGCACAGAAATTGGTCTAAAGTTTGTGGGGTCTGATGTACTTCCCGTTTTATGCAAAGGAGTTATTTTACTGTATTTCATGAGGTCTGGAAAAACACCACAGTCAACACAATCATTAAATATGCAAGCTAGAATAGGAGCTATTGTCTCAATTACCGATTTGGAAACATCAACGGAATTGCCCCACAGATCCGTGGTTTTCTTTTTATTTAATTGGTGAAACGTTTTAATTACATCTTTGAAGTCAACATGTTTAAAATGAAAATGACTAGTACAAGGTTTCACGTTTTCTCTTAAGATTGATTCAGCAGCAATGGGGGAAGAGTTCAAAGATTTAGTAGTTGAAACTGGAATATCAGTAAAGAAATTTTCGAAAGCTGTAGCAACTTCAATATCTGAAGTAACCCTTTTATTATCAATATTTAAGTTATAATTATTATTGCGAGTTTTGGATTTTCCAGTTTCATCGTTTATAATATTCCATGTCGTTTTAATTTTGTCATTACTGTTCTTAATCTTTGAACTTAAGTAATTTGATTTTGCTAAGCGGCATACTTTTTTAAACAATTTAGAATAGTTACGAACATGCTCTTTAAATTTTTCACTAGTGTTACAGTTTCTTTCATTATAAAGTTCATAAAGTGTCCTTCTACTTTTATGAATTCCAGGCGTAGCCCACTTAGTAAAAGTTACCGCATCATTAATACAGATTTTTTTGGGTACAAAAACATTATTAAATTCAGTGCAGTATATATTAAAAAAATCATTATATAAATCATTTGGACTGTCTTTATATTTTAGATAACACATTTTTCTATCTAATTGAGTTTTAAAACGTTCCACACGATTAGCAGATTTTGGTACAACAGTCATGTGTTTTTTTGTCTCTATTTTAAGTCTTTCTTCTGCAATAAATGTTGAATTGAATTGAAAGAAACAGATTCGACTCTAAAGACACAATTAAATTTAATTTAATTAAATTAGACAATTTCTAGAACCATTTTAACTTAGTAATCTGTGGTTCCGGGACTTACTATTTTAAGAAACCGCATGTTATGTATTTAACTTTGGGGGTAGATGAGTTATAGTAAGTTTTAAATCTTTTAAGAATTTTAAGAGAGGTAGGTAAAGGCTATTTTGGATTACTTCTTTTAATTTGAACATCGTCTGGGCAAGTTGGTTTTTGAATCTTTTTGTGGTGTTATGTGATGTGATGAATAAGGTATCAGTGTAGGAATTTGATTTGATTTGGCCAGCAAGGTGAAAATAGCTGGTGGTTGTTGTTTAGGGTTAGGGTCTTTATTTCGTATGTTTTGAAGCTCGGAAAAGTCAAGAATATTGTAAAAAAAAACTTGTTCTAAAAGTGTTTTATTAAATATGTCAGAATTTTTAATGTCGTTTGTGTTAACTGACGTTGATAAAGTTATTCAGCTAGAAAGTGTGAAATTTAGAAAAGATCTCTCATCAAATAAAACGTACCCACTACAAAATATTTTCATGTTTGAGTCAATACCACAGCTTACTTAATAGTTACTACTTAAGCTATATACACTGTGAATCATTACATTAAAAGCTTCAATGACAGTT